ATTGTATTATGGATTTGACGAAACAGAAGAAACACCGACGAGAAATTAAGGCGAGAAAAAGGGTTCAGAACTTGGGAAGCTTGTCACAGTCTGAAGGAAACCATCCAATGCTCTGCATCTCATTCACCAAAGGCTTCCCATTCAAGTCTTTTCTTATCTATAAAAGATATAAGAAAGCCAAATTAGGCAAAACACAACCAGTGAAGCTAATCTTGCTCTTTTTCTTCAGAGAAGAAGTTTTCTCTTACCAGATTGAGAATCGCTTGGTATACTTGGGCATTGAAGTAAGTGTACTATCGGAAACCAAGTTGATGTCTTTGACACCTGTAGTCTTTGCCGTCATGCTGGCCCAGTCATGTAGTTTTTACTAGAGAGAAAAAGTTGCACCATGAGTTGTGTAACTTTAAAGTGACAAAGAAAACGATGCTCAAAGAGGTTGCTCACCTAGGTGAAGTCCATGTAACTCCAGAAGAAGGAACAAGCTCATCGAAAGCCTTTACCATTGTGACTTAAGCAATGCACAATCACATTCTTCGTAGTCCCCCAGCGAACTAAGCTGTGTCGAGATGCTTACTTTCCCTCTGCCAAGGCCAAGGATTCCCGCTGTTGTGCTGATCATACCCGCATCTGAAAGAGAAAACGAAATTGATTCAAGAATCAGAATCACTAACTTATGTTTCCTAATGCGTGAAAAAAGAAGTAACCCAAATGTCAGATGAGGGTGCATAGTGGATCCATTAGCAAGCCTTGGAGGAAACTCATCAGAATACCCAATTTCATGATCATCAGGACGTTTGATTCTACATAAAAGGACCTTTTGATTACTATGGCACACACTAAAAGCAAAATCAAAGTTGTACCTTTGTGCAACCGTTGCAGGGCAAGTGAGATCACTACCGGTGTCAATGTCAAAGAGCTTAGGTGGGTTTCCTATGTTGAGCAACAAAAATAGTAGTACCTGAAGAAGAAGCCCTAACGACTCCAAAATGCAAACAAAAAACTCAAGCAATCAAATTGGGCGGTTTCAATAGATCATTGCCCAAAATCTACAATCTTGAAATCTCCATCACATGAATACAATCAAGAATTCACACCAATCCCACAAATGAAAATGGCAATAAAATGAGAGGTTTGAGCAAAAGATGTGAAATTTCGCAGAGATTTAACTTACCCAAGATAAGGCTTTATAGTTCTTCATTTATGTCATCTGAATTATTACAAACACTGAAATAATACAGGGTGGGATGCGTTTTTAGAAAACGTTTTTGGAATATTAAGCCGACGGACTACACAATCCGCGGAGTCTAAGCCCTGCGTGAGGGAGACATGAATAAAACCAAAAAACAATCAAAATAAAACTAGTAGGAACACAGTCCCGAGCGAGAAGTTAGAAACAACATAACTTGAAAATGAGCCTAAAAATAACAAACCACTTAGAAAATGATTACCTAAGCCAAACAGGACCAATCGCGAGAGCTAATCGAAAACAAACGAATAGCTTCTCATCCTATAGTGAATTGTCTACCTAATCAAACCAAAGCGCATAGAAAACTAAACCGGCGAGAAGGAAGAACTTAGAAGAAACTAAGTCTTAACACAACACATGGTCCAGTAGTTCATCGTATAGCTTACTGGGTCAGACCATTGATTTTTGTTAAAAAGAAGCTCAAACCGAAATTAATTATAATAGCCCAGCTATAAAAGAAATAGCACTCTAGGGTTTCTTTATCCTTCTCCTGAATTCTGATTGACTCCAGCCGCCGTGCCACCGAATTTTCCGATGATTGGAGACAAACGGAGCCGTTCCCCGGTTAA